GTCAGGACTCCCCTCCCATGCAGCGCAGCCTGGGTCTTGGTTGGGATCTTGCTACAGATACTCTAACTTTCCGTGTGGACTGCGCTGAAAAACCCTTTACTCGTCGGGGTGTGTTGTCTACTAGCAACAGCTTATTTGACCCGTTGGGGTTCGCTGCTCCCTTCAGTGTTCAGGGCCGCCTCATTTTGAGAGAACTCACCACTGAGACTTGTGACTGGGATGCACCACTGCCCCGAGAAAAGCTTGAACAGTGGCAGAGGTGGTGCACATCTCTTCAAGACCTAAGAGAGTTGAAGATCCCAAGGGCCTACACAATGGTCCCACTCTCCGCAGCTCAGAGCAAGGAGATCTGTATCTTTTGTGATGCATCTACCAAAGCTATTGCTGCTGTTGCTTATCTGAGAGTCACAGATGCTGCAGGACATAGCGAAGTTGGATTCCTGTTTGGGAAAACAAAGTTGGCACCTAAGCCTGACATCACCATCCCAAGGCTTGAGCTCTGTGCAGCTGTTCTTGCAGTGGAACTGGCAGAGGTTATGTCTGCAGAGTTGGACATTCAGGGTACAAAGGATCAGACGTTCAACCAACAAAAGCCAATGGAACTATGCTCCTTCTGATGTCAACCCAGCTGACCATGCAACTAGAGCGATTCCAGCTAACCAGCTTGCAGCTTCCTCCTGGTTGTCTGGACCAGCCTTTCTTGTAGACAAGCAACATTGTCACTTAAAACAGGAAGCTTTCAGCCTAGTTGAACCCGCAACAGATGTGGAACTACGTCAAGAAGTAGTGACTTGTGCCACAAATTTGTCATTTCAGCTGGGCAGTAAACGCTTTGAGCGATTTTCAAGTTGGAGGTCACTCACCAGAGCTATTGCCAGGCTCTGCCACATTGCTTACTCCTTTACAAGGGCAGCAAAAGAAGGTCCTTGCCATGGTTGGCACAACTGCAAGCTGCTTTTCAGTCCAGACCAGCTGCATCATGCAAGGATCAGAATTTTGCTTGCTGTCCAAAGGCAGGTCTATTCAGCAGAAATACACTGCTTACAAAAGGGAGGTCAGGTCCCTAAACAGTGCTCTCTCAGCAAGCTTTGTCCTTTCATTGATTCTGAAGGTCTTCTCCGCGTCAGAGGACGACTGAAAAAATCACAGCTCACAGCAGAAGAGGGTCAGCCAGTTATCATGCCTGGTAAACATCATGTTACCTCCTTGCTTATCAGACACTGCCATGAGCAAGTCTGCCATCAAGGACGACACTTGACGGAAGGCGCTTTGAGGAGTGCTGGTTTCTGGATTGTTGGAGGAAGACGGTCTGTCAGCAGTTTGGTCTACAACTGTGTGACATGTCGAAGATTGCGTGGGAGAGAGGAGGAGCAGATAATGGCAGACCTGCCTGCTGATCGCTTGAGTACAGATCCTCCGTTCACCTTTGTTGGATTGGATGTGTTCGGACCATGGTGTGTCACCTCAAGGAGGACACGTGGAGGGCTAGCCAACAGTAAGCGTTGGGCAATCATCTTCACATGTATGAGCGTGCGTGCCATACACATCGAGGTCATCGAATCAATGGATTCATCCAGTTTCATTAACGCTCTAAGACGCTTCTTTGCAGTTAGAGGGCCTGTCAAACAGCTAAGGTCAGACTGGGGTACTAATTTTGTTGGAGCCTGTCGAGAGCTTGGGATCAGTTCCAAAGGCTGCAACAACAAGGAAGTGTCCAACTACCTGTCTGATCAGGGCTGTGTATGGCTGTTTAACCCTCCCCACTCTTCACACATGGGGGGAAGCTGGGAGAGGATGATCGGTGTCACACGTCGGATCCTTGACGCAATGTTCCTCAAGCTTGGGTCTGTTCAGCTCACACATGAGGTCCTGACAACATTTATGGCAGAGGTAACTGCAATTGTCAATTCCAGACCACTTACTTCAGTGTCCACAGATCCAGACGAACCTCTCATCCTCACTCCTGCTATGCTGCTAACTCAGAAGATTGCTGTACTCCCTGTTCCTCCTGGTAACTTTGATGATAGTAATATCTTCAGACGTCAGTGGCATCAGGTTCAAAGCATGGCCAACACATTCTGGGAGAGGTGGAAAAGGGAGTACCTCAGTAGTCTACAAGGTCGAAAGAAATGGAGAACGGAGAGACCTAATCTCATGGACGGAGACGTTGTTCTAATGAAAGACAATTCACTGAAGAGACATGACTGGCCCACAGGACTGATCACAAGGACTTTTCCAAGTGACGATGGAAAGGTCAGGAAGGTCGAGGTGAAAGTTTTCAGAGACAGTGTTCCAAAACTTTACTTAAGGCCAGTGTCTGAAGTTATACTCCTGTTGCAGAGAAACTCTGTCAAGTGATGTGCAGTTTGACATCCTAGGGATGTCAGGTGGGGAGTATGCTGGCATTAGGTATTTTCTGTTCTGCAGCAGTTTGCCCTCTAGTGGTTGTTTTTGTGTATTTTTTTTACTCTGTAAGATCGAGCCAGAGGCAGTTTCACCTCCGTTAATCTGTTGCCATCCATGCCTTCACAAGCTGATAAACGGCATCATCTGTGAGTAATATTGTTTGTTATCACTGAGACAACTTGTGTGCATTATTATTTGTTGTGAAGGCGTGATATAGTTTGTAGTTAGAATTTAATTTGAATGCATGTATAACCTAAGCTAGTAAGGTTAAGCTAGCTCATATGTCATGTGGTTTCTTTAACGTTTTGATCATGAGTGTGATTTCATTTGATGTTTTATTCGGGCACTCACTAAGAAGATAAATATTGTACTCATATTTTTGAATATGTGTTTGTTATACTGTATATTGAGGCAACATTTTTATTGGTTTATTTCTGGTTTTGTCAACAGTTTCACACTTTTTCCTTATTAAATCATCCAACTCAACACATTGGCCTGTTCCCTGGATTTTGATTAGGAGAGTGTTTAGCTGTCTGTATAGCTGAGTCTACGTTCACGAGGACAACGCTTAGTGAGGACAGAACAGCAATCAATTACTAACAAATTCCTGTTCACTCACATTTAAAAGAAGAATTTGGTGTTTCATAAACTGTTGTGAGACCAAACTGCCCATGAACAGTGCAGCATGAGCGTAACATCTACAGCTGTGATAGAGACCTGAGAACCCTGCCCGATGTGTGGTTTCTGACAGGACTGCCAACTCACGCTTGTTTGCTGCAATATCACTGCTCAACTTGAGTGCTGAGCAGTCATATTATAGCAACACAGGGCATGAGGACCCTCAGGTCACAAAAAAATGTCCTGGTTCTCCTGATGGAAGTCAAGTAGGACAGTACCTCAGTGGTTAGTGCTCACAGCCTTATCTTACAGAAAGAGATTCATGGATTCAGCCAAGGTCCTTATTATTCAAATTCAAATTCAAATTCAAATTCAAATT